TTCTCAGGCTCAGGAGATTTTTGTGGCCTAGCATATGTACTGATTCCTTAAGTTTATGAATTTTCCAGTGGTGTTCTTTGTCTATGATATCAACCTGATCCCACAGATGGCAGTGATCTCTTTTTTCTCTCCATATGTGGTCAGCCATGCTTGATTTTTTCACTTCCCCTCATGTTACATCTTTCTGGTGTTGTTGAAGCCTAACCTTAAGGGGATGGCCTGTCTCCCCTTTATATTTCTTTCTGCTGCTTTTCGAATTTATTTTGTCTTTATCTTCTCTTTAACCAGGAATCTTTTATTCTTTTTTTCACCATTTTAACTGGTTTTCTCCATTTATTAAATTTTCTATAATTTCTTTTATATATGCTTCATATTCCATTTTTATTTGAATGTTTCTTTAAATTGTGTTTCTTTTTATTATTTCAATTTTTCTTGATATTTTTTTCATTTCTGATTTATTTTCTTTTTTCTTTAAAGTCATCTTTAGTTCTACTACTACTTTACTATTTTCTTTCATTGTTACTTATTCCTCTACACTCCAGACACATTTTTTACCTCTTTTTGCATTTACCTTGAAGTCCATTCTCCCTGATTTTCTCATTATATTGACTATTTTTTCTTCTTTTTCTTCTTCCTCCTCTTTTCCCAATATTTGATTCTCTCTTCTCCTTCTTTCTATTACCCACTCTTATAGTTAACTTATTCATCTACATTTTTCTCATTCAAATCTTCTTTAAGGATTTAAATACTCTACCATTCTGTCCTTATTCTTATTCTTAGCTTAAAAATTTGTTTTTAAAAACCTCTTCTTTTATGAAATCTTACTTTCATCTCTTTTCTGTTATTTTTATTCTTTATTTGATTCACCATCATTTTCTTCACATTTAACCATTTCTTTCTGCCTTGCAAAGCTAAGTTAATCTTTTACTAGACACCCCCCACAACAACCTGTCTGGTTACCAAGGTAACCAATTCAATAAATAGAGGCAAATTTCTTTTTTTTAAAGAATAAACAAATACTAAGCAGGAAATAACAAAATATATATATTTTCTCTTTGTTTCTATTTTTTATTATTATTATTTATAGTGATTTTGTTTTTATTTGCATTTATTCTTTAACTGTGGGTGTTAGGTAAATCTGTTATCTTTGTGGATTGGGGAACTTTTTACTTGAAATTGAAGGGAAATTAAAAAAAATTTCACACATTTTTTTCATCATTTTAATAAAATAATTTACAATTGACAATAGGAATTTTTTTGTTGATTTAATCTTATATGTAAAGACTTCAAAAATATATATCACAATTAATGTTGCAAAAATTATATTTATACATTTTAACATTTTTATAAACTGGTAAAAAGTGCTAAAATGCAAATACTTTTTCATTTCTGTGACTTCATATGTTTTCTTGTACTTTTGTTTAGGGAGTTACATTTTTTTTAATATTTCATTCATTTTTAAACAAAGGATAAACTTTTGAATTGTGAAAAAGACATTTATTCCTTAGTTTACTGATTTCTCATTGTTTTCTTTCGTCTCACAGTTCAATTATTGATTTATTCTTATTAATCTGAAAACTGGAAAATATACATGTATAAATATGTCGATGAATACATTGCAGTTTTTGAATTTTTTAAGGTGGTCAGCATTATTCTAAGATTTTGAAGGAGACATTTTTGGCATAGGCTAGTTCACAACCAAAATGCTTTAAAGATTTTATTCATGCAATGCCCTTTCACATTCTGTAATACTGAATATTGCCCAAATTATGAAGAAGAGAAAGATTTCAAAGATACCAAATTAATGGAATTGCCTCAGGCCTCTCCATATTGAAAACTTTTTTATTTAAAAGGATGCAATACTCAGAAGGAATAGAAACTGTTATGTCAATGTCAGAACAGAACAAAAATTAAGAAAATCAATGATCGACTGATGAAGGTTGTACGTCAAAAAGCCAACAAAAACATGTAAAATAAAATATATATATTTTGGATTTTTTTGTTTAAGATGAAGAGTATATTCATTCAATACAATGCTCTGTCGCCTTCTCTAAAGTTGAATTTTGCTATGTTTACTCTATATCCTAAGGTTTACTATATATCCTAAGGTTTACTATATATCCTAGTTAAGAATGAACTGCCCTGGTTTGAAGGATCAATTCCAGTGTCTTGTTAAAGTTATCAGTTAAGATTTAAAGATTTCTTATGGCTACAAAAGAAAGTAAATTGCAGAGAGCCATGATTACCTAAGAATTATGAAAATGGCAATTAACTTAATGGATAAGTTTCAGTAAATTGATAGCTGAACAAATACTATATAGTGTTTATAAAGGAACAAGAATTACTTAAAGCAACAAAAGTTGTGAAGAGATATAATTACCCAGTTCTCATCCAAAGTTAAGCAACACTGAGTCTGGTCTGTACCATGATAGATGAATATGTGAGTGGTATAATGGATAATGGATTTGAAGGAGAACTCAAAATGCTGAGCTTGAATTCAAGTTGGGTTTGCAATATTTATTTACATGCAAATACCCATGGAAAAGGTATGAATCTACTTCTTCTCCTCCCAGCTATGGGTTAAATAGTAGGACTTGTAATAGAAAGTCATTATTATCTCCAAAAAATTCTTACAATCCAAAAATATTTGCCTTTAAATAATTTTAAAAAGGTGAGTAAATTGTAAAAAAAAACAAATCAGTACTCCTGCTTCCTTCTTTGTTTCTACCTCTAAATTATTTTCTCTTTTCCCCATAAAACATTTCTAAATTTCCTTCTGTGAACAATGACCTAAAAAATAGCTGTCATCCTCTTCAAAAATGCAAATAGAAATAAATGTCTAAATATGAAAAAAAGAAATTTCTGATGGAAGATAAATACTTGACTCCACTTCAGTTACACTGCAGATAAACAATAATATTTCGCCTTTGACATCCAGCAACTAAATTTAACTAATTCCTCATATCAGATTTTTTTAGGCTCACATCCAAAATGGTGACCTGAAATCTTTAGCACACCAACGAAAGTCCAGTGCCAGTTCCTGAATCCTTCACTAAAGATTGGTCATCTGGTCAGAAGGTACAGCTAGACAGACACTAACCACTCAATTGGCTAATGCCTGGGTCTTCTCTTTTTAAAGATGACCCAAGAGGAGGAAGAAGAAGAAAAACAGAAGACTGAGAAGAAAGCTGGGTGGATTTTGTAAGCAAAAAGAGGAGATGAGGGTACTGGGGAAGGTTTGTCTGTGTTTTGGGAATAAGTAATTGAGTAAGAATATCAGGTGTACCTTCTGACAATGCGTCTTTGCTTGAATAGACAATGAAAAGCTTAAAGCAAAATGGCTCTGTATCAATCGATGGTGTCTGATAATGAAAGTATGTGGCTAGGTGCAGTGCAGCAGTAATAATGTTGGTTTGGCTTTCAGTGGAAGAGAGGAGAGAGAGAGAGAGAGAGAGAGAGAAAAAAAGAGGAGAAAGGAATAAGAGAAAAAGGGAAAGAGAAAGAGACACTGTAGAAATAGAGAAAAGGTAGGTAGAAAGGATGATGCAAAGAAGGTGGTGGAAAAGAAAGAAGACAGAAAAGAAAATTAAATAAAAGAGAAAGAAAGCAAAGAGGATAGAGAAAGACAAAGTGTCTATGAGAGTAGAAACCTAGATAAAAAAAAAAAAACAAACTTAAAATTAAATTGTATAAAGATAGGAAAATGAGAGAGAGTGGGGTGACTAAGAATCTAAGAGAGAGAAAAGCAAAAAAAAAGAAAAATACAAAATTTAAGAAAAATAAAAAATTTAAGATTAAATTGTATAAAGATAAGAAAGAGAGAGAGAGAGAGTAAAAATTCAAGAAAGAGTAAAGCAAAATCAAACAAAAAATGTAAAACCAAAAATTTAAGATTAAATGATATAAATTTAATAAAGAGAGAGAGAGATTGAGAATGAGATAGAGAGAGAGAGAGATTGAGAATGAGATAGAGAGAGAGAGAGAGAGCAAGAGAGAGGAAATAAAAAAAAGCAAAAGAAAAAGAAAAATTTGAGATTAAATTTTATAAAGATAGGAAAGAGAGAGAGGAAGAGAGAGAGATGCTAAAAATTCAAGAAAGAGGAAAGCAAAATAAAACAAAAGAACAAGTAAAGCCAAAAATTTAAAATTAAATAAATTTAATAAAGAGAGACACACAGAGAGAGAGTTTGAGAATGAGAGTGAGATGGAGAGAGAGAGGGAGCAAGAGAGAAACATTAAGATTCCTAGAAAAAGGAAAGCAAAAAGAAACAAAGGAATAGAAAAATCTAAATTTAAGATTCAATTGTATAAAGATTGGTAACAGAGTGAGAGAGTGAGAGAAAAAGAGAGAGAGAGAGACTAAAAAGGAAACAGAGAAGAAAGCTAGAAAAACAGAAAAAATTTAAGATTAAATTCTATAAAGACAGGCAAAGGAGGGAGAGAGAAAGGCTAAGAATTCAAGAGAGCAGAAAGCAAAAAAAACAGAAAAAAAACAAAACAAGAACACTTTAAGAATAATAGTGTGCCTAAAAAATGTAGTACTAATATAGTACTAATATGGGCAAAAATACAGTGAACTGAACAGAGGGGAAAAGTAATAATGATTAAAAAGAAATAAACTGTATGATCATCAGAAAAGAAATAAAGAAAAGATAGTGACAAGAAATAAAAAAAAGAAACTTTGAAGACATGCACATATGAGCCAACAACCGTATATGTGCATTTGTATTTATATCTATATTGACATAGAACCCATATAAAGAATGCGATTATTTATGTAAGGATTGATACTTTGGCCTTAGATCAGCATATCTGTGGACCCTGTCAAGGAGCAAAGAGAGTTTCCCCTCGGGCTTCTGCCAGTGATCAGAGTAATATTTCTCTACTTTGTCTTGGATCAAAGTGTCATGCCTCGCTTTTTGCATTGCATCAGTATAGAATCTAAGTATGCTAGCTTCAGTGAAGCCTGACTTACTCTTTGCAAGTCAATTTTAACATTGCTGGGGAAATGCATCTCTCATTTGCCTGCTTACTTTGAGTGCAGAAGTTCAAATCAGAGTAAGATTCAGGTCTTAACATTATTTATATTTTTTGCTTTTGTATGACAAGATGGAGACAGAAAAATGCAAAATCACACTTTTCCTGATTACATATGATTAGGATCTAGATATGCATAAATACACTTCTTCATACATAATTGAATGTGTACACAAACAAACATATATATATATATATATATATATATATATATATATATATATATATATATATATGTGTGTGTGAAAGTGTATGTATATAAATATAAACATAAAATATATATATATATATATATATATATATATGTAATATATTATGTATATTATTATTTATATATTATATATGGTACTTATTAGAAAGCGCTCAATATCAGAGGTAGAGCTAACATATTTGGTTTGATTGATGTGAGTTTGTGACTTTGGGTTTCATGCTTTTGCAATTGTCAAATAAATATAAAAGTCAACATTGAAATCAACACACAGAGTCAACAGGCTGTTTCATGCTAGGTGTAATCATCAGGCCGCCTGACGATTGCACCTAGCATGAAACAGTCTGTCGCATCTGAGTGTTGATTTCAATGTTCACTTTTATATTTATATTTACATATGCTCTATCCCTGATATTGAGCACTTTATCCCATAAATATAGCACACCGTAAAATTATATTTCTTCATATATATATATATAAAATGATGAAATTTTTAAACTAGTGCACTCATGAAAATACATTATAGAAATTGATTTTCTTTCTTGTTACATATTCAAACCCCCAATGATGTCTAATTTGAAGGCTAAGTTAAAATTGGATGATTTTTACATCAATTACAACAACTTTGTATAAAGTTAGTTGCATATTAGAAAATATGATAAGTTTATGGACTATAAACTATTGGTTCTTTTTAATTAGACATTTTTACAAGAACAATTGCAGTCAAAATATATGAACACATATAAGTATTTATTCATATATTTTTTGTTTAATTCTTTATATATATATATATATATATATATATATATATATATATATCATATCATACAGGCAGTTTTCTCATCATTGTTAGCATATTCAAAACGTTTTGGCTGTTGTACACTCCAGCCTTCTTCAGGTGATTGGAACTTTGAATTTTGAACTGAACCTTTTATTTTGTCCACTGAGGTAGATTTTTCTACTTCCATGTGCTATGCCTCTTCCATATGCTTCAGTTATCTCCCTTTAATTCAGTTCTCAAAGTTTTTGTTCACCTCAGCCAGTTAGTGAACTCAGAACTCTTCAGGGGAAAAAATGCAACTGACCAATTTGCAGGGTATGCAACTACCTATTAGAGGACCATGAATTTCAGTTCAAAGATGGATTAAAATTCAAAATTAAAGATGATTTCACATGTGACTCAGATAATGTAATATACATAATTACGTGCAAAGCTTGTCATGTGCATTACATTGGCTAAACTGACCAGTCACTCCAGCAAAGGATGACAGTTCATTTCCAACAAATTAGGTACCTCCACACCAGAAAAATACCCCTTGGCATATAGAGAAATGTGGAGGACAAAATCTGTCAACATTTAGTGTTTTCCCATTCTACCAATGTGACTACAGAACCACTGTACAAAGGTTGATAAATAAGGAAAAATTTTTCATCAACAATTTCAAACCCATACTTAATTCATTGCATAAATAGATTCTACCAAATTTGCCTTACCATAAATAACATATATAGCCAGTTATGCCCCTTGATTTCCTTTTTTTTCATTGGTTCAAAACATAAACATCAACATGGAGATAGAAACAGTTAAAACTTTTTGAAAAGCTAATCAAAACTAAATAAAGTAAAAGAAGTTTTAAAAAAAGAAAAACAACAATTTTTTGAAAAAAACCCACTGAAAATCCAATTCTAAGTAACAAGATTTTAATTCAACTCTGTAAAAATTCATATATTATAAATAAATATCAGTATATTAAATATTAGGTACCTTTTTTTCCAGTCCTCATTTTAGTCTGTCTCTCTCTCTCTTTCTCTCTCTCTCTCTCTCTCTATATATATATATATATATATATATATGTATATAAAACCAAGAAACTGCATGTTGTAATTAAAAATTTTAATTACAGAATATTTTCAAAGTTTAAAAAGACATATTTTGAATAAAAAACTGAAGAAAATGTCACTGTAAGGATGACAAAATTATCAAAGTAACATTAACATGAAATGCATGCTTCACATTCTGACACTAGTTTTAGAATTCATTCATCCATTGATTTTGTGAACTATTGTATTACTTCATATGAATCAGACAGCGCAGTGACCAAAATATCATTCCAAACTTCCTCTTTGCTGGTAAATTGCAGTCTACCAATGCAAACCTACCATTTTAGAATGCACCACTAGTTTCTAACTGAGTAACAGTTGGATGAACCAGCTAGCCATCTTCATCTAACAAGTGTCTTTGAAATGCAGTTTATTCAGATATTCATAACTTTCCCTCATTGAATGTGATAGAGAATTGTGGTGTATAAAGTCATCATCTTTCCAAAAGCATTTAACTTCTTGAACAATAGCTCTATGTGTGGCTTTGAAAATAACTGTATACTTTCCATGAATCTATCACTTTCCAGCCACTAAAATTACATCACATCTGTGTTGTTCTGAGGCTATTTGTGATTAGTAGCCACCTAGCCATTGTGCCATCTATCTTGATAATTATTCTTAGTATTCTTGGCATTCCTAAATGAAAAGTATAGTTGAGAAAATTGGTCCTTGTGTTCTGTTACAAATTTCATTAATTCTCTTCATGCATATCTTTTAAAGGATGCTTATTAATGAGTCCCATATGATTTACCATTTAATTTAGGATCTTCCTTGTTGCCAAAATGTCTACAAATTTATTTTTACTTGAATGTATAAAAAAAACTGTCCAAACTTCATTTTCTTTATATTGAGTACCTGAATATATAAAAATTGCATACTCTATGTTCACAAAAGAAATTACTTGTATGAATGTGTCTTGTCAGTCATCTTCAATAAATCTTGTATAAAAGAGGAATCATATATATATAAAAAAAAAAAATCTTTAATTTTAAAAGATGACGTTGAAAATTTTTTACCGTTAACAATTTTTTTTTTTTTTTTTTTTAAATTCAGACGACATCCATTCAACCGTCGTCAGGTTTCAGTGTAAAATACATCCTCACCCCCTTACCAAAATGTAGCTAATAACTGATACAATGATACTGTCATAAGGAAAATCTAGACACCCGTGTTCAATTTGAGTAGAATATTCTGTAACCATGGAAACGTGATTTTAGCTGTGTATTTAAAACCCGTAAATTTTAAAAAGTTACTCCAAAATTCGCTTGAAGATGAAATGGAACTAATGCTTTTAATTTATTTGCAAAAATAAAATTAGGGTTTTAGCTTCTATTTTTGAAACATGGTTGGAACTGTGTAGCGAAAATAACCATATTTTAAATCAATTAATTTATAATATTAATGCTCTGTAAATTTACATTGAGCACTATTTTGTAAAAATAAAATATCTATAAGAACACCGGATTTTATATCTTACTGTTCTTTCTTTTTTATTTATATATATATATATATATATATATATATATATATATTTCTATATATATATATATTAGAGTTTGAAAAGTTTGAGGCAACCCCTGGTAATTTTTTTGATTTTTTATTAGAATTTTTAACATGAAAAAATAGGAAGAAGCAAATTATGATTAAATTTGCTCCCATCAAAATATCCTTCTTTACTCTTGATTACTGTAGCACAAATTTTTGTCATTCAGTGCAAAAGTTTCTCAATGTATAAGTTTGATAATTGATTCCATTCTTTTTTCAGTGACTCTAAAAGCATCTTTTCATTTTTTTCATTTTTCTGTCAAGTTCATTCCTTGCTAATTCGGTGGGTGGCTTCAAACATTTGAACCATAATCTATCTATCTATCTATCTATCTATCTATCTATCTATCTATATATATATATATATATATATATATATAGTTTATGAAAAACTAGGTAATACATATTGGATAACCCAAGGAGGATAAATAAATAATATATATATATATATATATATATATATATATATATATATATATATATATGTATATATATTTAAAATATGATTTCTTCACTACATAAGAGTTCTAATGCTTCAAAAACAGGAGCCAAAAACTTCAATATA